TACTCCCAAAGCTCCCTATGGGAACTCTGACTGGTGCTTTGGATATAAGGGACAGAGTTGCCCAGGTAATGATGGGAGTCATTAGAAAGCTCAGTGTTTATCTCAAACCACTAGGCTGCAAGAAAAGCAGAAACAGAACCTTCCTTCTATAACCTCCTCATAGTAACTCAGCTACTCCCTCTACAGATCACCTTTCCCTTTCTATGACTGAGGACTTCACTCTCTCACCTCTGCTCTGTGTCTATCCCCTCCATACACCTACCTCTTTACTCTTCATTCCTTTGTCCTCTTAATACTTCATTCATTTATTTGTCTATGGTAGTTTGTTGAACAGCTACTGTGTGCCAAGCACTGTCCTAAGCATGGAGGGTGGGGGGGAATGGATGCAGAAGTCACAAAACAGCAAAAAGCTGCCCTCATGGCTTTCACACTGTAGTAGCAGAAGGCAGAAGATAAATAAACCCACCAGGTACTGATAGGTACCTTGGAGACATAGAGGAAAGGAATAGAGGTGTGTGTGGTGGTGGGGATTCTGTGCTATTTTGTGTTTGTATGGTACTGGGGATGGAACCTGGGGTCTTTCACATGTTAGGCAAATGCTTTTCTACTGAGCTAGGGTCCAAGATCGTATTTTATACTATTTTATTTAAGTTGCCTCTCTGATAGGTGACATTGTAGTATAGACCTTATGGAACTAAGAGTGCTAGTCGTGGGAACACCTGGGAAAAGAGCTTGCTAAGCAAAACACATTAAATGTAAATGTCTTCAGAAGGTACTTCCTTGGTATGACTGAAGCAGAGCCCAGAGGCCAACAGACTTGAAGAATATAGATTTAAGGGAGGTAATGAGAGATGAGTTAAGACTGTCATGAAGTGGGTGAACAGCCACACATGTAGAGTCTTGTAGGTCAGTGTCATAATTTGATCTTGACTGAGGGAGATGGAGAATTGCCTGAAGATTCTGAACAGGTAGGGAAATGACTTGTAGGACATTTTGGAGGATCTTTGGTTGCAGGAGGGAAGCAAAAGATGAAAGCAGAAAGATCAAGGGGCACTTTTTAAAGTTATGCTGGCTTGGTAAAGATGGTACCATGCAGGCAGTTGAAAGTGGGCCGTATTCTAGATCAGTTTTAAAGGTAGACACTTTGCAAATCCTGAGGAATGGTCTCATTTTGTTTCCTTACTTCCTACCTCTGGTTCCTGAGAGAGGAGAATAGATTGGTTCAGTGTGGATTTGTGTACCAGTCTAATTCTGTACCAGTAACAGTCATCATGCTGTCTACATGGGCAGGAGATGATTGTGGATAGCTTCCTTGAAGGAGCTGTGTTTGTGGAAGGCACCATTTTGACATTCCCACCATGGTGTTATAGCTAACAACTTCTTTTAAGCTTTATTTACAAACCCATCATCCCCCTCTCCTTCCCTATAGATCTGGTACTTTAGCTACATTTTATCTGGTATATTTGTATGACTTCATGCCTTTGTTCCTGTTATTTCCTCAACTGAGGACACTTCTTTTTTTTCAACTATCATAGCTATGTACTTCAGCTGGCAACTCTGTTGGGGTAAAGTAGTAAGAAGACTAGCAAAACAAATTCTGGGAAAAACGAAATGAAGTTTCAAAATAAGCCCTTTTGGTGATCTGGTGAATGAAAGGGCTTCAGTTGAGTAGACAACTGGCCAGGATTCTATAGCATTTCTGGGGACCTTGAGCTTGATTCCAAGCAGAAACCAGCAACTCAGAAAAGACACAGAAAAAGCTGGGCGTCGGTGGCTCACACCTGTAATCCTAGCTACTCAGGAAGCTGAGATCTGAGGATCGTGGTTCAAAGCCAGCCCGGGCAGGAAAGTCCGTGAAACTCTTATCTCCAATAAACCACCAGAAAACCGGAAGTGGCACTATAGCTCAAGTGGTAGAGCGCTAGCCTTGAGCTGAAGAGCTGACACAGAACAAAGGCTCTGCATGGAGGTGGCCAATGTAAACAGTAGAGCCCTCAACATTCCTTTTGGTAGGAAGGGGACTAGAAGATAAGAAGCTTGAGAAAACCACTAGTGTCTCTGGCTCCCAGTTGATGGTAGGGCAAGCAAAGATCCTTGTCTGGGGGCCTGGAGACAAGCTAAGCACTGAGAGCCACGTGTCTGCTAGATAATGAAGGCAGCATTCAGTAGGTTGAGCAAACTCAATGTCTTAGTAACTTTCAGGAGCTCCCTTATTGGATATGAAGTAACAGGAGTTCTATCTCCAAACGTGGAGTGTGCATCTTCCAAAGAGCACAAGATAATCCATTTGGATATGAGAAGAAAATACTAGAACTTCTGTTTCTAGGAACAATTTTGTTCTTTTTCTATTTAATGTTTTGTAAGCCTCATGTTGGTCCAGTAGCACACTTGTAGAAAGTATAAATAAAAAGACATTTAGACTGTGAGTATATAATCAGAATTCTTTTGCAGATAAGCTGTATGACCAAAGAGGTTTGAAGATCATTCTTGCAGGAGACTGGTGGCCAAACCAGGGCTAAATGGGAATGGCATTTGCTGAGATGGAGCATTTGAAGGAATCATGGGTGAGGAGGGAGAAGAGGTTAGGTGTTTTCTCTGATTTGTTGGTGGGGGGGGGGTGTCTTGCATACTCCTTAGTGGTTGCTTGATAAGGGATGAGTCTGGATAAGCCAACTTGAGGAAAGGAAAGGCCTCTGGCATCTTGGTGGGAAGGAAGTGTCTGGATCACACTGCCTCAGTCAAGGGGGACAATTGCTCCTTCGTCTGAATGAAGGTCCTGCTTGCAGCAACCTCTTGAGTTGGGGAAGTTTCCTGGGATGGAAAAAAAAAGTCTCCTAGGGAAGACAGCAGGTGGAAGCTAGTGCCTGTGTGTTGTCAAGAGTAAAGGAGAGTTTGTGCTCAGGGGATATTGAAAGGATGGACAGGGGCCACTTTTAAGTATCTCTGATGTGGGAGGACAGTGCGGACATCCTTTCCAAGAAGAACAGAGACCCAAAGACAGACACAAAGATCATCCATTTGTTACCTGGGTCCAAGAATAACAAGGATGTCTAAAAAGACCAACAATTCTCCAATCCCATCTCAGAGACCCATCAGGAGACACATAGGAACGCACAGACTGACAGAAATTCATTCAAATGCAGGAAGTCATTGATTCAACTGCCCAGCCAAAATAGGTACCTGTGTGTGATGGTTGTGGAATATACCCAAGCTGCAGTACAGGGTCAACAATTCCAGTGGCTGCTCCCTAGGGCCTGAGACTCTTGGGGAGAGGAGAGGGGCATGTGAGGTCCCAACAGTGAGTTCTTGAGGTTTCTGTGGGGCTGCCATTCTCTAGGTCTAGAGGTAAATAAATGCAGAGCAAGGAAACTTTCGGCAAGTGTCTGAGGCCTCCTTGGTCCCTTGTACAGACTCTGGGGTAACATTGTATCTGCCCACTTGGGGAGCCCAGGAAGGACACAGGACCGCAGACCACACCCACCTATATGTAGAGGGCCTATGATGTTGCATTCTGAGAGCTTGCACCCTAGATCTGGGTGCCAGGGCAAGTGGCAGGATGGCATGACTGGCTTGGTACAGATGCAGAACTCTAAAGTGAACTCTAAAGTTTCAAAGAGAGCTCTTGGCTGGAGGGTGAGGGCGAGTAGCGGGGAGTGGATGCTAAATAACAAGATTATCCCAGCCATCACCTACGCTCAGCTGCTATACAGGAAAGTTTCAGCCAAAGGTCTACAGGGGACCAAAGTGAGAGAGGAGATTATTGACAGAATTACTGAGGATCAACCAGAGACAGGCCCACCCCAGAGTCAGGGAGAGACAAACCTGGAGCCGTGGGGAGTGACATACAAAATTTTATTATTATTATCATTTATTTATTTATTATTTATCATGTGCACAAGAAAAAAAAAGAGGAATCAAAATGAACCGACACGCTGAAAGTGGCTGAGAAACCATCTTGGTCAGGGGACCTTTCTAAGATTAGGACTGGTTCTGGGTCCCAGACTCCTGCCCCTGCCAGCCCCACCAGGACTGGAATAGACTGAGCCACCGAATAGGGACCTTGTCGCCCCGAGGAGACCACTTGCAACCTGGCTGGGCGCCGGCACTTCCCTTACGCTATTCCCTTTTCTCACTTTCCTTTTCCAATAAAAGTTAAAAAACAAAAACAAAACAAAACAAAAAAAAACCCCACAAAGGCTCGAAGGGAAGAGAGATCTGGGCGAGGACTCCAAGCCTTTTTGGATTTGTTCAAGGATTTTTATTTATTTATTTATTTTCACTTTTATTGACTTTGTTTCTGTTATTTCGAGTCGTCACGATCCACGGGTGAGGAGACATGCAGGGAGAGCATCGCCGCTACCGAGAGAGCAACTACAGGGCGGGGCAGGGTGGCCCGGCCACCCAGGGCGCAGCAGAGAAGGGCCAGCCCGGAGACTGGAGCCGCCACCTGTGATCTTGCCCGCGAGGGCAGAGCTGGGAGAGAGAGGGAGTTGGGGGGGGGGGGCAGAGACAGGGAGACAATCAGAGGTCAAGACGCAGGGAGACGGAGACAGAGGGAGAGAGCAGCGGAGAGGAAGGGAGGCGAAGGGTGCAGGGGGTGGGGGGGAGATGCCAGGAGGAGAGAGCGAAAACACGGAATTACAGAGAAACAGCCAACAAAACAGAGGCGAGAGGAGTCCACGGGACCATGTTCGTCATTTTGCATAGAGATTTCTTTCTTTCGTAATAGTTTTGTAACATTAAAAAAAAAAAAGTTGTCCCCCTCCTCCAGGATGTGCTGTGCATCAGCGGGCGCGTCGCGGTGTCCCCTCCCCCCAGCGAGCGGCGACTCTCACAGCGCACACGGCGGGGCGTATCTACAGGCAGGGCTGGCGGGGCCGGGGACTCCACGGGGCGGGAGCGCGGAGGGGCGGAGGTTATATACACGGGGGTTCGCCTTCACACGACACACACCGTCTTTCTAAAAAGCAGCAGCCTGTTGTTTTTTTTTTTCCTTTCTCTCCTTTTGTTCCTTTTTTTTTTTGCAAAGACCATCCTATTAAATAAGTGTAGGCTTTGTTTTTGTTTTGTTTTTCGGTTCTTGTTCATTTCCTGCCGGAGAGGGAGGGGTGGGGTGGAGTGGGCAGTCGTCCACTTTCCATCCAGCCGTCCACGGCTCAGAATGGGCTCCTATAGTTGGCAGGTTGGGGCATCTGTGTCAGGGAAGGAGGTGCCAAGTAACTGCCCCCGAAGACCAGTACCTGCGGCCTATGGGATGGGGTCCTGCAGCGGCTGGGGGGCGGGGCGGGGGGAGACGGAGGGCGTCCCGAGAGGCAGGGACTTAGGAACCACGGACGCCGGGCGTCTTAACCTGGGGAAATGACCGGTAGCAGGGGAGGGGGAGTGAGAGGGCAGCAGATGAAAGACGCTGTGGTCGGGGACCGGGCGGTCCAGATGGAGGAAAAGAGCCAAGAGCTGGGCTCGGTGGGTGCCCATCGCTGCAGCCTACATGTCTTGGGTCCCACAACCTGCGAAAGACTTGACACCCCAAACGCCGTCCGTAGAGCACCACCCTCGGGCGCACGTTCCGCCTTCGGGGACAAGGCACACCCGAAAGGCGGGGCAGCCCTGCCAGCGCAGGTGCCAAGGAGTCCCACCCCCCACAGGTGGCTCTTCTTCCTTCTGCAGAAAGTCGTTTGGTGCTTAATTTCCTTTGCCCAGCGCCCCCCCAGCAAAGCCTCCCGGAGCCGGAGCGCCCCCCTCCCCGGCAGGCTGCTCGGGGCGCTGGGCCGCGCTGCAGTCGGCGTTGATTGTGTGTCACAGAACTGTATCTCGTCCCCAAGGTGGCGGCCCGGCCGGCGTCCCGCAGGGGGCGGACCCGCTCCCGGGCGGCTTCTACCAGGCCCCAGAGAGTTTTGGCCGGGGCGACGCCGCGCAGTCCCAGGCGGGCGCGGAGGGGCGGCGGGCGGGGCCTGGGCCGGAGGGTCCCGCCCGCGGCTCCACCCGTCCCGTCCGGCCTTCGGCTGGCTGATGAGGAGGGCTGCGGGGGGTCTTGGGATGGGGGTGGGGCTGGGACGGTGGCCGAGAGGCTTCGCGTCGCGTTGGTCCTCCCTCCCTCCGGGGTGGGCGGTCAGACGGGGACGATGTGGAGGCCGAAGCTGTCGGCCTGAAGCTTGATGTGGTCCCCGCGGTAACTAGTGGCGGTCATAGGCAGCGGCAGCAGCGGCAGGGGCGGAGCCCCGGGGGGCGGCACTATAATAATAAGGGGAACCTGGAAGTTAACACAGGAGAAGAATGGGCTGGGTGAGAGGACAAACAGGAGAACAAAAAAACAAGGAAAGAAAAGCAAAGAAAAGACCTCCCCGGGCTGGGGTCCAGAGGGATCAGGGCGGGGAGACCGTGGCTGGGCCGCCCGGGCCGTGGCCCTGGAGGAGAGCTGCGTTCACGCGCGCTGGGTGGGAGGAAAGGACCCAACTGGTGACACCGGGCTTCAGACTCTCTAGGGGGTTCGAGGGCGAAGGCGACGCCCGGGAGCCTTCCAGTGATCTGGGAGGGAAGGAAGGAAGGGACGAGGCCAGAGGCGCAGGGGTTCTCCAGGGATTCCCGGGCCTCTGCGCTGCACTAAGGAGCCCGCTTCCCTGGGCGCCAACCGGACACCCGAGGTCAGGGGGCCGGGAGAGGCGCCCGCGTCTCGAAGCCTCACCGCCGGGCGGGCGCGCTGAGCCGCCGGCGGGCCAGCCCGGTGGCGTACTCACTTAGTAAGGCGGGGTTGCTGAATCTCCAAGCCTCGTTGTAGGCGGTGTACTGGGGGTGGCTGTACGGGTTGCCAGAGAACTCGCTCCCTGCGGGAGGGTGGGGAAGTGGGGATCAGACACCCGCGCTCCAAGACGGGCTCATCCAGTCGGGTGGGGACGGCTTCTGCGCCCCTTACACCCCTAGTCCCAGGTACAAGGCCAGGCAATGGCAGGTACGGACAGGTCAGAGGCGAGGCCGTCCACCTGGTCCACGTGGGGAGAGCCGCCCGAAGGCGCCTGGCAAATTGTGGCGGGGGAGGGGATCATCGCTGGGGTGCGGTGACTGGGGCGTGCCGGGGCTCCCCTGCGGAGGCGCTCCAGGCCACTCAGGCAGGGCTAGTTCGAGGTCTGGGTGTGCCCATCCCCAGTAACCTGAAGCAAAGGGCTTTTATAGCGAACACTGTGATTCTGGGAGGCACAGGCCCACAGGGTGGAGGCGAGGGAGGGTGGCGAAGAGAAACCCTCGGGACACTTTGTCCCAGAAAGGCCTAAGAATGGCATCTTAGAGCGGTGCCAAACGCAAGGGGCGGAGAGCTCTGCTGGGAAATACCCCCTCCCTTCTTTCCCTCAGGAGGTTTTACGTAGGCCTCCCGGCAGGGGGAAGAAGCCGCAGGAAGCCAGTGGAGTGCCCGCTGGTCGGGCAGCAGCTAGCCAAGGGCCCGTGGGCTGGGAGCCGTCGGAAGCTGCCTCCCTCCCTCTGGGGAAAAAGGCCAGGCCTCCGGGTTTCCCCCTCGCCCTTTCTCCTGTGTGATGACCCTAGACTGTTTACAGTGATCCCTAACCGCGGGTTAAGTAGAGGAGAAGGGGCCCCTCTCGGAGAGGGAGCTGGGGTGGGGGTGGGGGATGCAGCCACTGGAAAGCCTGTTTATTGACGAGGAGGGAAAGCATGCGTGCAGCAGGATAATGAGCTTCTGAGCTCAACTGTGACCAAGAGGAACTGAGCTATCTCCTTCCCCATCGCTAATGAAACAAGTGTAATTTCCTCATCAGCACTAGATTCTGTTTAACGACTCCCCCCTTGCCACCATGAGCTCTCGGCGGCTCCCCTCATCCCCACCTCCCTGCAGACTCCCCACCCTCACCCCTCCCCACTCTTCCCTCACCCCCACTTCTCTAACACCTCCTCCAGCCTCCACTCGCTCACTTGCTGGGACCTTCCTCCCAAAGAATCTCCTTGATTCCCACAAAAGTGCTTGCACTTCTTTCCCCAGATCTGGGCAGTAATCCCTTCACCAACACTTATACCTCCCTTCAGCCTTTTTTCTACCACACCTTTCTGCACTCTCCCTGTTTTTCTCAGCCTCAACCCAGCTTTGCTTACCCAGGGCTGCCCTTGGGTGATCCTAGATGGATGAGTTCAGTCAACCTCTTCTATCCTCTCCCTCTTCCCCTACCAATGAGAAACTTCTGGGACGGGGACACAAGGCTCTCCAGAAGCAGAGGGTTGTAGGCTGGGATGAATTTTACCCTCTTTAAGGCAAGAGGTTTTGGTGTTTCTGCAAATAGTAATGCCAACTCTCTGGCTTCAAGTTCTAACCCAGGACCGTAATCTAGGCTGAGGGATAGGATATCATGACCTTCGCTTGCAATCACTGGCTCCTAAATATGGCCTCTGCACCCCTGAGCCAGGCAACCCAAGACTGTGGGTGGGGCAAATTCTGGGGAGCAGTGAGGACCTGGATCATCTGGAAAGGTTTGGTGTATTCTTGCTTGTCTCTCTGAAGGCAAAATCTCTCTGTTTTGCTTTTTTTTTTTTTTTGCCATAGGCTGTTCTCAGCTCCTCTTAGGGATGAGTTCCCTCCTCTCTTGAGTTTGGGGTTGGTTCTCCATCTAGTCTTCCCCTGTGACTTGGTGTGGACCCAGAGTGGCTTTGTCTGAGTGACTGACATGACCCTGGAAATGGTTCTTGGTTCCGAGTTTCCATGGAAACCGGGGCAGGATCTTCTAGGCAGTGTCAGCTGACTAGGGTGGGCTACAGCACTGAGGGTGGAGCTGAGGCTTAGTGTTCAGGGCACAGGCTCTGGTGGGTTGGGGGGGGGGCAGGGAGCCATGACACAAAGTCATGCGCACTTCTGTAAACTCTCCCTGGATTGCTCATGAGGGAGGATGAGGGGCCAACTGCAGCCCCCAGAGAAAGAGAGAACAGAATAACAATGGTTTGTAGGGAGAAATGATGTTGGGTATCTCCCTCCTCCCCGCCCCCGCTCCACACCCTTGTCTGCCCACATCCCCAGCTTCAGACTAGAGACCACTCGGAAGCTCTCCCACATTTAGTACCTCCCACTTAGCTGTAGCAGTTACCTACCAGGCACCATTCCTGCCAGGGTGGAGGTGGGGTAGCTTCCCTGGCCAGTAGGGGGTACATGAGGGGGGTAACCAGGCAGGGTGGTGCTCGCCATGTCACGACCTGGAAAAACACAAAGGGGAAGGGGTGAGGGCTGGAAGAGAGGGTCTGCCTCTGTTTACATTGGTATATACCAGGGAGAGCTCTGAGCAGATGTGTACCTGAACAAGCAGGTCTCTGGCTGCCTTTGCACAGAGTCAAGCTTGTTACCTAAATGACTGAGTCCACCACTAGTTGTGTGTGTTACTCCCTTCTGTGTCGCTTTGGATCTCTGTGCATCTGTTTCTCTTCTTATTCCCAAACCAGATGGAGGTGACCTGGTTTTACTCCTCCCTCTCAGAGAGATAGTCAGCTGTGGTCTCTCCTGGGGCCAAATGGACCTTTGTCATCTTGCTTACCTCTCCCTTCCTAACACCCCATCTTCCCTTCAGGCTTGGATTCACCACCCCCTCCAATTCTACAAGGGCTGACTGGCATTTCCTGTCCTCTCCAAGTTGAGCTGGTGCTGTGTCTGGCAGATGTGGAGGGTAGGGACCAGCCAGTGGGGTATTTTGCTGGTAGCGATTGTGCATTTGCAGGATAGAAACCATTCACCTCCTTCCTGAGATAAATCAGGAACTTTGAACCAACGGTGTGGTGATCAGATTAAATTCCAATGAGCAAAATCTGGTACCTCTACCAGTGGCTGAGGCCTCCTATTAGCTAACGATGAGCTCTCCTTAGCTAGTAGAGGAGCGGGGAGATTCCCCAATTCACAGATGATTCTTTTGAAACACAGTTGCATGTGATGGCTGTCCTTATCTGTCCCCTCCACTGCTATGACATTTAGCATACTCCAGTTTTTAATGATGATATTTGGTCTCTCCCATCTCCCACACTCCCACATACTAGAGGCTACTCTGTTCTCTCTTGGGGCCCATGCATTCTCTGTAGGGTTCCTTTATTGTTCTTGCCAGCTAGTGCCATTCTACCTCTCTTTAGCCTAGAAAGGCAAGGTATAGCTGAAGGAAGCCATAGGTCTCTGCACACCTTGTCCAGTTCACTCTTTTCTTCAGTTAGATCCTAGTCATCATCTTCCCATTACTATTCTAAACTACCTTTCATTCTTTCTTCCTTTTCCAAATTAATGAATGAGTTAATTAGAGATGGGCCTCACTAAGGTTGTTCTCTAACTTAAGATGCTCCTGAGCACTCTTCTTATAAGTACCGTGCATTAACCAATTGCGTCACTGTAGCTACTGAGCACTCTTTTAAGTACTCAGATTATAGGCCTGGAACATCATGGCCAGCTAAGCATCTTTCTTTGCGACTGTCCCCTTGAAGATGTCCTCATTTCCTATCACCTTCTTCACCTCCACCTAGATGCTTCTGAGTGCTTTTTCTTTCTCTAAGTATACAGAACTGTGGCTCAGGATTTTTGCATTTCCAATTGCCTGCTGTACACTCTTATTCACTATTGCTTTGTCACCTCAAACCTAATAAGAAGGCAGACTCACCTTTCCCCTCAGTCAGTGCCACTAACCCTTTTGAAGACAGCAAGACCAACAACTTTGGGGTCCTTGACACAGCCTTCATCCATCCTCCCCCACTATATGAAGTCAGTCACCAAGGATTGTCAGTTGTCCTTAGCTATCTCTGTTGCATACATTTCCATTTCCTCTACCACTTTCATCATTCAGCTCCTAAGCATCTGCCCTTGGTTGGCCATAAAGGTTGGCTTCTCCTGTCCATGCCAAATACGGCTGCTTGGGCTAGTAGAGTGCTTGCCTAGCATGCTTGAAGCCCTGGGTTCCATTCCTCAGTACCACATACACAGAAAAAGCCAGAAGTGGTGCTGTGTCTCAGTGGTAGAGTACTAGCCTTGAGCAAAAGAAGGTCAGGGACAGTGCCCAGGCCTGAAAGAAACATTGCTTTCATCACACATTTCCCTTGGTTAAAAAACAAAACAAAACAAAAAACACCATTGAGGCTATAGTTTGAATATTAACTGAAGGCTTTCAAAGCCTCCTGGTACTCTCTCCACCCAAGTTCTCAACTCTGATTTTCACTTTTCCTGGTTTAGTTTGACTGCTTGCTTGGTTGCCTGCCTTTCTGCCTGCCTTCTTTCCTTCCTTTCTTTCCTCTTCTTCTTTGTCAGTTGTGGGGCATGATCTCAGGGCCTGGGCATTGTGCCTGAGCTCTTTTTGCTCAAGGCTAGTGCTCTACCACTTTGAGCCACAGTGCTACTTCCAGTTTCTGGTGGTAAATTGGAGATAAGAGTCTCACGGACTTTTCTGCCTAGGCTGGCTTTAAATTGTTATCCTCAGATCTCAGCCTCCAGAGTATCTAGGATTAGAGGTGTGAGTCACTGGCACAGGGGCAGTTTGACTGTTTTCACTGTGCATTCACCATGAACTTTCCTTCTTCCTTATTCATAGTTTTCTTCTAGCTCAAGCCTCAAAATCCCTACCATTCTGCTCATCAGGGAAGTTTCTCTCTTAAGCAGCTATAGGATGTTTGTTTTCCATGTCTTTATAGGGCATAAATGTATCAGCCCAGTTGTTTCATGTCACAGTTTGCTTCATCAGACAGATCATAGGTACTCCAAAAGCAGGACTTGACTTCTGCTTTCCTTTCCTTTCCTTTCCCTCCCTCCCTCCCTTCTCTCTCTCTCTTTCTCTCTTTCTTTCTTTCTCTCTTGCTTTCTTTCCTTTCTTTTTCTCAGTTCTAGGGCCTGAACTCTGGGCCTGGGCGCTGTCCCTGAGCTCTTCAGTTCAAGGCTAGCACTATACCACTTGAGACAGTTCCACTTCTGGCTTTTCTGCTTATGTGGTACTGAGGAATTGAACCCAGGGCCTCCTGCATGCAAGGCAAGCACTCTACCATTGAGCCACCTTCCCAGCCCCAACTTCTGCTTTTCTGAATAGTTGAGAACACAGTAGACAACCAATAAATACTTGTTGATTAATTTCCTAGCCCTTGATTGCACTTACAGCCAATTCCTAATAGGTTATAATTGTTTTCTAATTGTTTCATGTAAATCTAGAACAAAATGTGAATGTTTGAATTTGTTTTTTTCTTTATAACAACTTAAGCAATAGCATGATGAAAGATTAACAGTGAGACACATCTATTGTGACTCAGCTTTATCATTTAATAGAATGCTTTTCCTCTATACTTACTAATGTAAGTATTTCCTAAAACTCAAGAACTAAGTAGAACTACCATGTAAGAAATCACTTTTGTAACTTACAGTGATAGAAGAATTGAGTTTTGCTTTGTTGTGGGTTTTCTTTTCCCTCATTTGGTCCTACTTCCATCTCTCTCTCTGCTTCCTTCTTTCCTTCTCTCTCTCTCTCTCTCTCTCTCTCTCTCTCTCTCTCCCTCTCTCTCTTTCTTGAACTGGGACTTGAACCTGACAGGGCCTCACACTCTTGCCTGACTTCCCTTCAAGGCTGGTTCTCTACCACATGAAACATAGCTCCAGCTCAGCCTTTTTGCTAGTTAATTGGAGATAAGAGTTTCTCTGTTTTGTCTGCTTGGGTTAGCTTCAAACCATGATCCTATGATCTCAGCCTCCTGAGTACCCAGAATTCTAGGAATGAACCACTGATGCCCATTGATATAGAGGATTTAAAACTAGAAGGGCATGGAAATCTAATTTCTTCTGGCCTCCCCATTTTTTTTCTGGTCCTGGGGCTTGAACTTGGCTCGGGCACTTCCCTGAGCCTCCTTTGCTCAAAGCTATTGCTCCACCACTTGAGCCACAGCTCTACATCCAATTTCCTGTCTGGTGATCAATTGGAGATAAGAGTATCATAGACTTTCTTGCCTAGGCTGGCTTTGAACCATGATCCTCAGATCTCAGCCTCCTGAGTAGCTAGGATTACAGGCATGAGCCACTGGTGTCGGGCTTGGCCCAGTGATCTTAATGTCTAATTATAAAGAAGCCAGTTAAAGGAGTATACCTTTTTAAAAATAAAATTTAAGTGCATGTGAATTCTGGCCTTCAGCTGCATATGAATATGAATTTCTAATACTCTAAGGTTTTGCCACAAAACCTTCAGGAGAGAGGAAGAGAGGCTAGGTGACTAGAAAGTTATGTGCAGTTAACCTGCAGGCAATCCTATTGCAAAGTTTATTCCCACTGGCTTTCTCACTTGCAAAATGATATGGCCAGCTTCCAGCAGGTTGAAAGCCACCCACTGAACTGTTGATTAGAAGGAACATTTCCAAATTCTATTTTTAAAAAACTAAATCTTGGAAGCACCATGCAGCAATTTAAAAAATGTACAAAAGGTCCATGATGAGACAAAACAGTCAAGCATCCTAGCACATGACATATGGTCGTACCCCATTCCGTCACATCAGTGTCACCACCAAGGGAGCCTGCTGAAGACCCCTGAGTCAACAAAGATGCAAGCCGCTGCATACAAAGCATGCTCAATGGTTTTATTAGTACACAAGTGATACCTGAAGAGCAGGAAAAATATTGACCCAACTCTTTTCAGAGCCATATATTTTTCTGGAATATATGTTGTCAATAATAGAAAATACATATTGCAGGATGTTTTCAAATGACTGAGCTCGTCATACTATTTGCCCAGCAGCATTCTTTGAGCAAACCTCCTTTGGTGAGGGAATATCGATGGCTAATGAAATTTGTGTGAGGAAGAATTGACAGAGCACTGGGGGCTGCAGTACTGCAGAGAGACAGATGGACGTAAAAACAACTCTAAAACTGCTAATATGGCATTGCCACGTTCTTTACACAAACAAGGCAAGGCACAGAAACAGAAGAAAACAGCTACAAAGTAGAACATATCAGTTTTAAAGTATGTGCCATCCACCAGCAGACAGGAAGCAGTAATGTATTTGCTCTGCTTACTGATAAAACCAGCAACATGAAAACTGCACAGGAATTGCAAGTGGTGTAAACTTGTCCTGTAAGAGGTAAGAATCTCATATTGACCACTATAAGAAGGTGGCTACTTGGTTTATAAGGATACAAAGCTTTTGTAGATAAAAGAGCATTTCAGTTGATTATCAGCCTAATATCCTTGTTATAAAGATGAGAAAACGAA